AGGTGCCAAGCCAGTGCATCTACAGCGCTGACGCCCAGCCATCGGGCGTAACCTAACAGTAGCTCAGACAGCCCGCACACGGCTATCTCACCTCAAAGAGTACATAGAGAGAGGAGACCTTACAACATTGATCTGTTTTCAGCCCCAGACTTTTTACCCAGAATGCATTCTTCATCTCTGTCACCTACATCTTCTAAACAGTGGCTAGGCAGTGGAGGCCCGAGCTTCCTGCTGAGAGCCTGTGTACCCAGGAGTGCCCCTACTTGCTCCCAGCATCTGCCCTTCACTCCCCACATTCAATTCCAAACCCTGTTCATCTTGATTCTTAAATATGACAAATCCAAAGGTGTCCTCGGCCCCCACCTTCTTACCCTCCATCTGCAGTCACCATGATCTTCCCGTGCAGACCTCCCGCGGCCTTTCAGGGCTGCTATTTCTGGTCCTGTGAGAAGGAGATCCTGGTTGCCTCTCCAGTGGCATCTCCCGGCCCTGCCTGGAGCAGGCTGATCAGACTCAGCACTGAGGCTCAGAAAACCACACTCGGAATCAAGCCTCGGAAGTAGCTTCAGACTCGAGTCTTTCTCTGCCCTCCGTCTTCCTGCCTCCTCCAGGCTTCTTCCCCTCAAGGCAGCTATGAAAACTAGAATTTTTGTGTCCCACAGTAGGTCCTAAAAATCTAGAATTTTATTTCTCCGAGCAAGCCATAAAGCCTAAAACATTAATCTCCCTGTCTTGAACTGGCCATAAAGAAATCCTTCCATTCCTACATTCATATGTGAATTCACGACCATGATAATCCCACATCTTGTACAACCAGAAGGATGGGAAGTTGTACTCCATGTGTGCAATATGGCAAATGCATTCTACCACCTTGTATAATTAAAAAGAACAAATAAAAAAAATTTCCATCTGCCTCGTCTGATGGAAGCCTGTGAGACCCCATCCCAGAAGGGTGTCCTGCCCTGTGTCTGGGAAGGGAATGCTGCCCAGAGGCTAGGAGGGACCTGAGCAGAGACAGGCCTCCCTGGCCTCCCCACTCCGTCTGGACTATGAGAGCACAGCCTTTGTCCACTCGTATCTCTCCATGGCTGGCCCGTGCTTTGTGGAGCCTACGCATGAAATGGACAATTCACCTGGATGTTTGGGTCTGTAATCTAAAGGCTCCCATATCATGTAAAACATGATCCATTAAATATGGTATGCTTTCCTCTTAGCCTGACCTGTTATAGGGGTGTTGGCCATGACCCATGTAGTGCGTGAGGAAGGGATTGCTGCCTGCCTTCCCACATGGAGCAGGCTCGATGGTCTTGTGTGGGTGGTCCTGCACACTATAGGCCATTCAGCAGCATCCCCAGCCTCTGCCCACTCAATGCCAATAGCTCCCAACACCAGTTGTGGCAACCAAAAATGTCTCCAGGTATTGTTTAATGTCCCTGGGGGACAAAATTGCTCCCTTAGCCTCAGCCTCCTCTCTGCCCCTGCTCCTATTGAGAATCACTGATCTGGAATGGTCTAAAACACTAGGGTGGCACAACTCTGTGTTCTCAAAAGGATACTCTCTTCCATCATCCCACTGTTCCCCCATTTGCATGAGACACTCTCCTGATCCCTTCTCTTCCCTTCCCTTAATAAGGCCCATGTTTCTCACTAACAGTTCACATTTATTAAATGTATATTATGTGGCAGGCATTATTTAGAAACACTGAAATGTACAAACTCATTTGACCCTGTTAACCACCCGAGAGGTCATACCAGCATCCCCTGGTTGATAAGACGAGAAGCCACTAACTAGATCCTGCAGTGTTTAAGCAGTGGAGCTGGCACTTGAAGGCACCAAAAGGCTCTCCCTGACCTGCAGACTGGATAGGTCCCCCACCTACATGCTCCCAGAGGATCTTGTACTTCCCACATGAATGCAGCTTCGGTAATCGATCATCACTATGCATCGGCTATTAATCTACAATTTGTAAGAGACGGGGTCTTGCTATGTTGCCTAGACTGGTATTGAACTCCTGAGCTCAGGCAATCCACTGCCCAGGCTCCCAAATAGCTGGGACTGCAGGCGCACGCCACCACTACACCCAGCACAGTGTTAGCTTACAGTGACAAACTTGGGGGTGCATGCATGGGACCATCACTTATCTAACCTTATCTAACTCAGATGCCCTCTTCTGCCAAACTGACGGGATTCCTGGGTTACTCATTTGAGGGCTCCCTTCCTGATTGTACAGGGTCACTTGAAGGTCACCAGGGTCTTTTGCAGATAATATTTAAGGCCTGTCTCCAATTCTCTCTGCTCACTGCTGATTGGCTCTTAGGGAATCCCCATCACCAGGGAACCTCTCTCCACTCCCTTTCCAGGATGGCAGCATCACATCCTCAGGGAACCTAAGCTTTTAAAGACCTAAAATGTCTCCCAGCAACTTCGGCAAGCCTCGCTGAGGTAAAGGAAGACAAACACTGGCTCTGAATAGACACCAAAGGGCAAATGACAACCTTTATTCTGCACAATGCACAGTCAGACACCAGCAGAAAGAAAGAGTAACCAAGAGACCCTGTGCTCTGGCTTAGGTCAGCCTTCTCCAGGACCCGCCAGCCTTGTCTGCCTCCACACCCCCAAGGCACCCCAAGACAGGTCATATCACAGGGGCATGGCAAACCTGTTGTTTGAAGGAATCAAGAAATGGGTGGATGGCTCTAGGGAGAACCAGTAGCTTTCCACTTTATCTCGCAACTGATACAAAAGTAAGGAGTGGCCTTTCGGGTGGGTTGAGTATAGCTCCTTAGAAGATACGGGTTTATAGTTATAGACAGGAATTGAAAGAATCCAGAGACTGTCACCCCAAAATGCGGCACCCTCATGTTGATTGTATTAAATTAAGGAACTTGAGAGCAGCAGATGCTGGGAGAGGCCTTATCTGGATATCTTCTTGTCGGCTAGAAGCCCAGACTGTCAAGGAGGAAAACGATTCTTTCTGATCCTTCCCTGAGTTTTCATCAACTAGACTCTTGTCGCAGGCAGAAAGCTTAAAGTTTATCACCATGCTGGGTAGACTTTTGCACACACCACTGCCTTCTATTTGGGCTATATTCAGTATTCCAAAGGCAGTCATTACAATCCATTGTCTGTACTGTGGGCCAATGACTCTGTCCCATGCCATTGTATGTCCTGCCAAGCCCACTGAAGACACTTAAAAACTACAATTTTCTCCATGGCCTGTTCTCCTCCTGCCCTGTGGAAAGGGTTGTACAAACTCCAGATCACACTGGCCTGGCAGGTAGTCATACTCTGCCTCTTTGCACATCCGTGTGTCTCTTCTCTCTGTCTGCTGTCCAGTCATTCTAGGGAACCTTCCGAGGGTGAAGGAAGCCTTCCCTCTGTGTCCAGGGGGCCAGATGTTCAATGACAGGCACTCACTGTCTGAATTTCTAAAGCACCATCTGTTCTCCACCAGGATTAAGCTGGGCCTGGCCTCTCTCTCTGACCTCGTTCCTAGCTCTTGTCCCCAGCTGCCTTCAGTGATCTGCCTCCACGGTTCTGACCAGGCATCTCAGGTCTGCCCCAACTCAGGACCTGTGCTCCTGCAGTTGCCCCTTCCTAGGACCCTCCATTCAGGTCTCTGAGTGTTTGCCTCATTTGGTCCCTCTGGGACCTCATTATCTAAAGTGGCCCCGCCTTTAAGTTACCCTATTCTGTTTTCTTAATGATGCCAACCACCTGGGGGCCCTTCCTTTACTTCTGTTTCCTTCCCTGGGTTTGTCCCCAATGCTCCATTCAACGGAGACCCCTGGGGGCTTTCTCCCAGATCAGCCCAAGGAGTGAATGGAATTTCCCCAAATTAAGTTTAGGATAAACTATACAATAAAATCCCTAATTGTAAATTCCCCAGATCGATCCTCTGTATGTTCTTTCCACTTGCCTTCTTTAGGAGAACTGTAACTTTTTTTTTTTTTTTTTTTTAGCTAAAAGGTACACACAAGAGTTGGTGGAGCCTCAACTGCTCATTTTGATGATGAGGAAAGGGACCCACAGAAGGGAAAGTAAATTGGGAAGTTTCATGAACCAAGACAGTTTGCTGAAAAGGGACAGGAGAGGGACAGTGCCCTTTCACTGGTCCTGTGTCCAACCCCAGCCAGTCCTTGGCCACCCCAAGCCCAGCCCTGGTTCCTTCATCTGGTTGAGACAGCCCAGCACCCACCAGGACTAGGCCAGAGGTAGCCATGAAAATTCCCCTACCCTGTCCTTCTGGCACCAGATTTGCGATCCAGTGACCTGAAGACAAAGAGGTAAAATGCACAGCAAGATAGTTGCAAAAAAAGGTGAGTATTAAGAAGATAACCAGGGCTGGGGTTGTGGCTCAGCGGTACAGCGCTGGCCTAGCATACACGAGGCAACGGGTATCGTCGATCCTCAGCACCATTTTACCATAAATGTAAAATAAAGATATTGTGTCTACCTAAAACTAAAAAACAAATATTAAAAAAAGAAGAAGATAACCAGACAGAAGCATGAGGAAGATGGGGATAAAGGATGCTGGAGAGAAACAGGGGCAGCGATGCAGATGGGGGAGCCAGGACCCTTTGGAATCAGACCTGAGACAGGGGCAAAGTCTTCGTGAGCGCTAAACCCTCTGCCTGGAACCTGGCCCACCAGAGCCGCCTGGTTCCCCTGGTTGTGCCCAGAGCTCCCTCAGCAGGGAGGCCCGCTCTGAGCCTCCATTCACAGGCACAGCACCCGCAGAGCACCTCTCCGCGGATCCCGCGCTGCGCTCCGAGCCCAGTCGCTCACAATAGAGCGAGAAGGAGCTGGGCCATGCAACCCATCAGCTGCCGCCGCGTGGCCGCGAGCACCCTCACACCTTGAGCGGGGTCCCACCACCTGCGCCCTGCTGGGCGCCCAGCCTGCTCTCGGCCCGGCCGTTGGGGCGCGCGATTCGCGGCGCCGGGCGCGCTGGGGCCCGGCCCGCAGGATGCTCAGGCCCGGCGCGGCCCGCACCTACCGGACTCGCTCGGCCGTCACCGCGTTGCCGGTGTGCGGCCGCAGCACCGCCAGGAACAGCAGCCGCATGCCGCCGCCGCCGCCGCCGCCGCCGCCGCCGCCCTGGCCATAGACCTGTTCTGCAGCCGCCGCCGGCCCCGGGCCGGCGCTCGGTCGCTCCCGCCGGAAGCTCCCCAGGCCTATTCCGCGCCCGCTGGCTCCGGCACCCAGAGGGGATGAGAGCGGGGAGGGGACCAGGGACAGGGGAGGGGAGGGGACCAGGGACAGGGGAGGGGAGGGGACTGTGAAGAGGGGAGGGGAGAGGAGGGGAAGGGTCAGTGGGGACTGGAGGGGAGGGGGAGGGATCAGCGGATAAGGGAGGGGCGGGGTCCGCGGGCCCTAGGGTACAGCGTGGGGGAAAGGGAGAGAGTCCGGAGAGAGGGGGCTACAGAGGAAGGATGAGCAGGCAGGAAGGGGTCCTTTAGGAGGGGAAAGAGAGCCGGATCAGAGGATTTCAGGCAGCTCTGTGGAGTTGAGGACAGGTCCGGTCCCACGGAGATCAGGACCATTGGTGGTCTGCGTCGCCTCCCCTGGAGATGAGCACTGGCCACGAATGGGCTCACCCAGGTGCAGGAGTGGTTGCAGCCCTTTCCACGGGGCCAGGCCCGCAGATGTGGAGAAGGGATCTGAGCCTCATTTTCCACAACCTGCCTGACTTTAGTGTCTAGAGGGGACAGGGCCTTTAGGAGTGATGAGGCCAGAAGGGCCCTACCCCGACGGGTGGAATAGGTCCTTTGGAAAGGCCTGGAGGGCCAGCCCTTTCACCCTTCCCCCTCCTGCCCTGTGAGCATAGGGTGCTCACTACTGGGGCAACAAGCAGGAAAGTTCCATCATGAAGACAGCAGCCCTCACCCTTCACCAAATCTGCTGCCCCCTTGGTCTTGAGCTTTCCTGCCACTAGAACTGTGAGGAATAAATTTCTGTTATTTGTAAATTACTCAGTCCACGTATTTTGTTACAGCAGCGCAAATGGATGAGAGCAGCCATACTCATAGGCTTCTAGGATGAGAACCCGGACTGCCATTCAGCCCACCACAAAGCCCCATCTGGGAGATGTCTGCATTTATGAGGGCCCCAATCGCCGCATCTGGGAGCATTCTCAACCTTCTCTAGCTAACCTTCATCCTCTTAGACCCTCTCTGGTCCTGATCCCATCCTGCTTTACAATACTGAGCATGAGGCCCTTGCCTTCAACTGGGTCATAGCCTCCCTGATAGTTAAGTCACTCTGTGACCTCTGGATGCCCAGGGCAACATCAGGCATGGCCAGCGCACTCAGTAAAGGCTTGCTTAATTCAGTTGAATCATGGGTCATGCACTGTTGTGAGATTTTATCCTATGAGGAATTATTCCTGGTCCTTTTTTTTTTTTTGGGGGGGGGGGGGGGGGGGGGGGGGGGGGGGGG